ACAAGCGAAGCTTCGGAGCGAAATAAAGTGAATCAGTATGATTAATTATTTGTGTTTTATGTTTTAATTGGTGTAAAGAAAATTAAAGTGTTAATTTAGGTAATTCTATCGGCAATTTTTATTGTCACGAACCTCAAGCTCGTAACAATTTTTGACAATACATCGTTGCATCCGATGGAACCACTGAGAAAAACAACCTTGGTCCTTAGGGGTCTCATCGACGGCATTTTGAAACACGGCCAATGCTTCCTTGGCGTCCATAAAACGATTTCCTCAAAGTTTTTCTTTTACTTTTGGAAATAAATAAAAACCGCAAGGTGCGAGGTCGGGGCTATAGGACGGGTGACCCAATAATTTCACGTTTGACGTCGCTAAGTAGTCGATTATTAGCATGGTGGTATGCGACGAGGCGTTATCATGGTGAAGGAGGATCCTAGTGCGAGGTTGTTTCTCCCGAACTTTTTTCAAAACAAATGGAAAACAATTGTTAGTGTACCATTTTGCAGTAACTGTTTTGTGATTCTCTAAAACAATTGTTGCGTAATGACCTGTCCTTCCGAAGAACGAGGCCACCATCTATTTTCCCACGCTCCGACCTCTATTCACATTAGTTGGCAACTCCTCAGAAGGAAACACCCAGACAGCACCCAGTTTCAAGGCACTCCCCTTGTTGCCTCAGTCAGTATCGGAATCCTCGGCGTCGACATATCGAGTGACGTGCAGTTTCGTGGTCACTTGGAAGGGAAGGCCAAATTGGCCTCTAAAAAGCTTAGCGTGCTCAGCAGAGCGGGACAGTATTTCATGCCGGCACACCGCTTGCAACTTTACAAGGCGCAGGTTCGGCCGCTCATGGAATACTGTTCCCATCTCTGGGCTGGGGCTCCCCAGTACCAGCTCCTTCCACTTGACCGCATCCAGCGCAGAGCGGCTCGAATCGTCGACGACCGAGTGCTTTCCGATCGGCTCGATTCACTGGCGCTGCGAAGAGATGTTGCATCTCTTTGCGTATTTTATCGCATCTATCACGGGGAGTGCTCTGAGGAATTGTTCGGATTAATCTCCAGCCGCCAAATTTCGTGAACGCACTACACGGCAAACGTCCCGATACCATCCACACCATCTGGATGCTTTGCGATCCTCCACTGTACGTTTCAAAAGGAGTTTTCTTCCGCGTACAACCTCTCTGTGGAATAATTTACCACCGGTGATTTTTCCGGACCGATACGACCTGGGGACCTTCAAGAAAAGAGCTTACTCCTTTCTAAAGGGCCGGCAACGCACCTGCAATTCCCCTGGTGTTGCGGTTGATCATGGGCGGCGGTAGTCACTTAACATCAGGTGAGCCACATGCTCGTTTGCCCCCTCTTCTATAAAAAAAAAAGCAGACTGTCTCTTAGTTTCAGGATCGTAGTGATCGGAGATTCAGAGTCACTGCCGTTATATCTTTGAACTATTTCACACCAATAAACACGACGGGGTTTTAGGCCTCTGTCGAATTATGAGGTGTCCACTGGGCACAAAGCTTTCTGACCGCTAAATGTTCATGGAGGATTTTGTGCGCTTGACTCATACCGATGCCTAAGCTTGGCCGAATCTGCTGGTAAGTCACTCTTTTGTCAGTCTCTATCGTACTCCGCACAACACTGATGTTATCTTCAGTCGTCACCGTAGAAGGCCGTCACTCACGCAGATCATCGCGACCACGTTTAAACTCATTAAACCAGTTGTAAACAGTGGCACGAGATGGGGCCTCATCGTGAAAGGCCAATCGAAATCTATCATAACTTTCCTGTTGACTTAAATGACATCGAAACTGATAAAAAATCATTGTATGAAAATTTTCTCGCGTCACATTCATGTTGACGTGACACAGACAATTTGCAACTTGCCGCGAAATCTTAAATAAATGACAAATTGATAAAATACACACAAAATAATATTTGCAAAGAGTTCCATTTTCAAAATTTAAACTAATTTTTTGATTACATCATTTACAAGTGGCCAGTTCTAAAAACTTTCAGTGTCTCCTTCGTACCACCTCCATAATAATTTTCTACTCCTTTTTAAACCCATAACGGGCGATAAGTTACAATAAAATACGAGCCACGTCTTTCATCAATTCTATTAAAGAATGTTTATACAAAATTTGAAGTAGATTGAACCGAGGAATCACGTTTTCCCATAAAACTTTAACCCCGTTTTTCACACCCTTAGGTATTGAATTTCAGAAAATATTTTCTTATTGGAAGCCTACGTGATACAAAGAACACACTCTCTAAGTCTTAGGTCACTACGATAGTTTAGGCTGTGCATTGATCCGTCATTCGGTCATTCAGGACAAAGCATTTTATATGTGTATATTTTGACTTTGAATAGAGTGAATATGCTTTTGTGCTACCATCCGAATCTTTCTTTAATAGGTTAAACCAACCTGGTTTTACTACCTGATATATTATTGGTCGTAAACGTGATTGCTGACCATGAGATCGCGGGCTTGAATTTTGGATTGGGCGAACAAAAATCTGTCATTGAGTTCTTGTTTTGTCAAGAAATTCTTAGTAGTTCCTTGAAGTTGGCACTATTTCACCCACGTGCTGAGGCGTGTGGGTAGAACGTGAAAACACGTAAAACCGTTGGTTCTGTGCCTGATCTGTTTCCGGTCGTGTCGGCTTGCTGACCCATGGGACAGTAAAAGTTATCGAATAGAGAATGCACTTGTGCTGGCGCATACACACGGACACTATAATCTTATCCTGCGCAGATGGCTAGTCTCCGTTGAGACCGCCCGCCAGAAACGAAATTCGTTCAGGAGGACATTATAATAACCGTATTTAGGTTGTTTTATAATATACCTTTATTTGCTGTTTTATTAATTAAGTTCAATAACATGTTTAATTATCCAGCTATTGTTTTAAACATAATATTATAGTACGTGAAACATATTTGTGTTTATATGATTTTGTAAACAATACCCATTTGCTTTTAATTAAGACTAACATGACAAAATAAATCAACACAACTTTATGTAAACTCGTATTTCGGTTTGTGTGCATAAGTAAATTGATGTTGCCGATACTAACGACGCGCTTATGATGTAGACGGGAAGTTAACAAATGCCTCGAATTCGCATGAAACTTGTTTAATTTACAGCCTCCGAGCAGTTTAACCCTCGAGCAGTATCCCCCCCCCCTCCTGAATACGCGAGGCAGCCAGAGCACCCTCGCTCAGGAATGGTAGGTTAGGTTAGGAGTGAATGCTCAGTAAGTGAATCTCCGTCACAAGGGGTGTTGGTATACTCATAGGGTAGTGTTTTCTTTTTCCGCTACCATGTTAAGGGGGGGGGGAAGTGTTGGTCTACCTGCATTTACTAGGCGAAACGTAGAAGTAAATTTCAATTACAGCGACAGTAGCCTAATGGCAGGGCACGGACCGTGAACTCAAAAAGGTCGTGTGTTCGTATCCGCCATTCGACTACTGGCGTGAACCACTCGTAAAAGAAGCAATTTAAGCTTACCACGAGTGTTTAAGGGAAATATTAGAAATGTTTATAGCATTGTTAATATTATTTTTAAAAAAACCTCACGCTGTATTCTGTGAGGTCGTGATACCACCCCAGTACGAGCCGGCCAATCCGTGCGAGAGCAAAAGCTACCGCGCGGCTGCACTGTAAATATGGTGAGTGTAGAGAAAAAAAGGTGTATGGAGAGAACCGGAAACCATTTATACAAGGAACGAGGCATTTTATCTTAGTCCTCAGAAATAACATTTAGACTACTTCATCGAGGCTTTATGTAGATGTCTATGGTCCACAGTATCTATTTACTGTCAGGTGGACCGTATGTTCGTTCGTACCATCATTCTTTAAAATAAACGTTCAAACATGGCTTAAATATTATTTAATGCTTAGACGCAGTGCCGGCGATGCTGTCAGTCGCTATGCTGTCTACCTAAAAAGGCTATTGATAATGTTGTACGAATGGCAAACTTAAAGAAGTCTCAGTGGGGCATTGGCTTAGCATTGAGTTAAAATGATTTCATGTAGTTTGTTTCAGTGTATACTACTGAAGACAAAGTGTGTAAAGCGATGGTTGTAACGAATGCAATCCTCACTGCTTACTACGGCTTAGCAAAAATCCCACCTCCGATACGGAATAATATTTTTGAGTAGCTCAACCGAAAAAGAATCAGCGTTTAAGGCTCAAAGAAGATGCATAAGGGCGATCTTTAAGCTTAAAACTACTGATAGTTGCACGCCATATTTTAAACAGTATAAAATACTGACATTATATGTTTATACATACTAGAAGTAGCTGTATTTGTTAAAATGCAACCAAAACGTCATAAACGCCTTGATCAAGTAGTTCCATGTAATAGACGCGACAATACCCTTTTGTGTCATCAATTCGCTAAGGCAGCACTAATGCGCAAAAGTATATACTGCATGGCTCCAGTCATGTATGATAAAATACCAAAAGTTGGAAAGAATTGCTGCTATCGATATTTAAAAAAAGGCTTGGAAGCTTTTCGACAGTCAAAGCATACTCTAGCGTAATAGAATTCATGATTGAAAAAAAAATTCTTTTGAGATTAAGACTGTGTTAAAAATCTAATTATATTTAGTTTAATTATATTTAGTTCTGTGTTGTTATTTTATGTTGTTATAGGTTAGGAGATTAGTTATAATTCTGCAATTTTTTCATGCCTTCTGGTAAAATATGGCGGAGCTCACTACATATATTACCATGTACTGTACCCATATTTGCAAAATAAAATATTTTTATCTTTATCTTTATCTAATTCACTGTTGATCTTGCTGTACGTTCCGCCATAGTCATACAAGTTAAGTTAAAAGTTAATATAAAACCTGAAAGTAATTTATTATGATAACTGTTTATGACATTTGTCAAAAATATAACTCTAAAAACGATTTGTTGTTTTGACGTGAAATAAATTTGACAATTAACTAATTACTTTGGATTTTTATTTAATTTATTTATACTATGACTCATTACGTGCCTTTAATTCCTGAAGAGAAGTAAGTAATTTTTGAATACGTACATACTTATGTTTAATAAAACTATTCATGTAAATGTAATAATTAATTCCGGATATGTGTTCAGTTATTACCATTGATATAGGTACGCGGTAGTACAATAAGTCTATGGTTATTACCCAATATTACATAATATATAACAATAATAGTTTATTAGGAGGGTGTCACTCTCTCAGAAATGAGTATTATATATATATATATATATATATATTCGTTTATTAATTTATTGGAATACATATTTTGTCATGTAAGCCAGAATATTAAAAAAAAGATTTAATGAAAAAAAAATATATATGTATATAGTATATCGATACAACGTGAGCGTATAAGATGTGCATATTATTATTGGTTTTTTTATCAATTATGGATGACAAATGAGTACAACATCCACCTGATGGTAAGTGGATGCTATGCTCCATAAACATTTACACCTATCATCGATTAAGTATCATTATGAGGATGGGTTTTATATCCTAGAGGACCAAAATGGAATGCCTAGCTTCCATTAAAAAGACCCCGATTCCTTACACTACGAAACACAGCAGAATTAAGCTGCAGTTTTACGGAATGTCGTGAGGATGTGGTTCCTCTACGCTCAAGCCAACCGATTCGTGCTCCGACCACAGTAAAGCTTCCAAAAGCTTTACCACGTTTTTACTACGTAATAAGATAATACGTTGTTGATTTCATTGTAACGTCTGATACTTCAGAGCAACTTGTAATGATGTCCGACCGCTCCTTCGCGAAGTGTTTCGTGGTCTTCATCCTCAGCCAGTACTTGCTGAACAGCTCCAATGTGAACAAAACCTTAACGATAATAAAGTAGTCAATGTTCAAGTTGACCAGTGGGTAAGTGTTATTTTTCAATTAAGTAAACTAATTTCAGAAATAATGATTATTATTTATGTTTCTAATGTGTATGTATCGGCTTCGGATAGTAAACTCAGTTAAAAATACAAATCATTTGCTTAATAATGAAGACTCCTAACATTGTGAATTTTGCAAAAACTATGCAGCAGCTGTACTAAGGCTTGGAAAGGACCACAACAGTTCATAATTTTATGCACTTATGATGTCGTTGTGTTTCTTTCAGTGAGTGACGAGAACCAGATGCCCATTTTACTGACAGAGAGGCATTCAGTCATAGTCTTACTTAGTATTTTGGTTCTTGGACTAAGATGGATATACATATGTGATTAGATATTTATCCACTTTCATCAGGTGGACTGTCTGCTCGTTTGCCGCACTTGTTTAAAAAAATAACGGACTCTTGAAATGAATAGGATAATAGATGAATAAAATAAATACATAAAATGAATATTTAGTATGTCAACTTACTATACCGACATGTATTAGCAGCGTAAAAGAATCCACTAGTTAAAATTGTCGTCGCGTGTATGTCGTAAGAGGCAAAAGAGGGAAAGTGAAATAGGAGATGGACAGCAACTTTCTTTCAACAATTCAAAATAATAAACAACTACAGTTGCCGCCCGCCCGCTAAACGTGGCAACAACGGTAGATGTACTCATGGGTCTCCTCCACGCTACCCCTTACAATGCAACAGGCAGAAGTTAAAATAGAAAGAAAATTCAACAATCTATGCAGAATCTAACATAATGAGTGAGTAGAGTGATAAAAAAAAATTGGACGTATTAATGATGGACCAAATTTAGCGTAAAGTCAATCGACAAATATGTATGCATGCATAATATGTCTTTATTATGGATGTGAAAAAAAAGGGAAAGACGTGCGTCGAAGTCGTGCCAAATGGAAGCCGGTAGCCATTGGCTCTCTCTCTCTCTTGGTGGCAGGCGTGAGAGTTGGTAGGTGGTTCGTTGCACGTGTGGCAGATTTACAATCGCATTGCCTGACATATCATGAAATCATAAACTCTATTCCCGCCTCCGATTTCACTAATCATAGCTTGTTAATGATAGATGGTTGTCACCATTATCATCATTACAGTCGTTCACAAGTCCACTGCTGAATATGGGCCGCTACCAAGTAATGCCACAAAGCACGGTTCTGAGACACTTGGAGCTACTATTTTATCTATATTGGTGAGCTCTAATGCGAAAGTACTACGCTCTCATAGAATACCAGCGTACAATAGTAACTTATTGCTGCAGCGTCTCGTATGGTGAGTGTAGGTGACCAGCCTTTCCTTAATTGAAAATGATGAATTCCGTCTTAGTCCTCATGGGTGACAACACGGGTGGCATCGGCATCTTAATTATTAAATGAATAAAAATGTAGATGTCTATGGGTAACAGTATCCACTTACCATCTGGTGGACTGTGTGTTCGTTTGACAACCTTATTTTACAAAAAAAAAATTACTAGTTCGTCACTCCATCTAGTGAGAGTATGTCCTACACTCCGCCTACCGGTACAAGTTGCCGACTCTCCCGTATATGATAATGTAGTGCTATGACATAGAGTAATATTGCCGGCCCATTGTCACTTCAGTTTATTAGTTATTTTATCACAATATACCGGTAGCCATGAGAAATTCCCTCTCTTACGACACGACCAAAACGTAACATGTTGTTACAACCTCTTTCATACACTACACTGCAAAGTTTTTTAAACACTTTCTCTGTCCGATTTTCAGTAGCAATACAATAGCAATGAATCATAATATGTAGTGCACGGGACAGGGAATGGATTAATATTATTTCATGGCTTGTAAATGACATACTATCGCTCACAGATGATATAAATTATTAAAAAAATGTTATTAAAATTTATTCACAAAAAGGTTATACAAGGCTAAATATTATGACTAGTGATCCGCCTCGACTTCACCTGGATAGAATCTGTTAATGTCAATTTTTAAGATAAAATATAGCCTAGACCTCTCCTTGTTACTCTCTTATAAGATTTTGTTACAATCGGTTCAGGCATTCCAAAGATGAGCCCAAACAGACATACAGACAAAAATATTTGAAATAGTTATTTATGACTTGATAGCATGCAAATGGAGGGTTATTTGAGTGTGCCTGTAATATTGAAATGACAGACTTCTATCATTCTATTTTATTTATAAGTATAGATATTTTACAGATCCAACAACATGAACTGGAAAGTGAAGAAATGAAAAATCGTGAGGAGCAACTTCAGCGTGAATATGCCAAGCGACTGGCTCTAGAATCACCAACTGATGAGCTTCCTTCGGAGGTTGCTAGTTGCGATTCCGAGTGGAAAGAGCGACTTGGCATTATACGCGTAAAGGATTTAAAACCAAGCCTTGAGGAATATCATGATCGCAAGTGCCCATTTCACTGCTTTTTAACTTAAACTTACCTGAACTTTATTTACTTTATAGTCAGCGATTATTAAATAATTCATCATCATAGCTTAACGTTTTATTTATTTATATTTCTTACAAGTCAGTGACCGAGACCTTTTTTACCTTTATAAATAAAACGAAAAATAAATGTTTTTTTTTTATAGGAGAGGGTGACGTTCCACGATTACGAATCAAAATGCAAATGCGTTGTCACCCGTGAGGACTAAGATGGAATGCCTCGTTTCCAGAAAACCATACGATACACAGTAGCATTAAGCCACTATTTTACGCTGATATTCTATGAGAGCGTGATCTTTCCCCGGTCGAGCTACAATTATACTACTAATATAACTGTAGCATGGCTCTACCACGTGTCAATTTTATTCAAGAAAACGATTTAATACGCAGTTTCAAACATTATAATCATTTATATTAGAGTACGAAATTCTTTATCTTATAGAAATTATGATATAATTTTCACTTAAATTATATAAATTCACATTTCACAGGGCAAAGTATTTGTGCAAAGAAAATGTCGATCAAAAGTTTATGCAACTTAAATAGCACGAAAGAACAAATAACGCAGTCTATGCATCAACAAGATGTCTTAAAATCTCTCAAGGACTTCACAATACAATCAGTTAGGTATTCATATCGCAATATCGTAATATAAAACTACTCTCATACTCACGTTGCTCTAATATCTGTAGGTGGACTTTACATCATATCCTCGCAATATTTCATAAGCATTCGGACATATCCACTACCCACATGGCACCGCGGTCATCGTGAGAGCCAGCAGAGGGAACAAGCCAGCAGCCGCCAATACATCACATTTGATAGACCACAAACCCTCGCTAAAGAACACCGATTCCTTCCAAGGATTATTCAAGAGGCCATTGAAATCAAAAAACATTCTTTTTTCAATGTAGAAGATGGCTGGGCGCTACCATCTGCTTGAGATCCTATAATTAATAAAATTAAATCCCAACCCAAGCATACAACTGCAAAACTTCACGATACTAGTTCATACTGCATGGATCGGAACAAAATTAATTATTTTAATCTGGAGGAAGCATTGGTTGACCATGACATTGGGAACCAATGCCATGATCTAACCCCCCCCCCGTGACCATAGCTGCTGTAAAGTGATCGATACGTCGGGAACATAAATTAAGTTAATATACGCGATAATATCCCTAAAAACGAGTTTAATTTAAATAAAGTGCCTCATTTCCGTACTCTGTATTCACCATGCGGAAAACAACATAAAATAGTTCTTTGACTTATGATAACAATAACCATTTATTGCATTACAAATTAAGGAATTAAAAAAAAGTTCCTAGAAATAGTAATCTAACCTTTCATATGCGTAATAAGTTAGTGTGACGGTAAACGCAAAAAAGTGGTAATGTATTTTCGAATTTGTAACGTAATACATAGCTTAAGTGAATCATAACATGCCGTATACTTTTATAACTGTAAATAATGGTGCCTTTGTAAGTGACTAGTGTCTAAGATACAGGCTCGGCCTAGTTTAGACGCTAGTGTATAAAATTGTATAGATAAATTATAACTCATACCAATTGTTCAAATGTCTTAAAGATAAATATTGTAATCCTTACTTTGTGTCAATAAATTATTATTATTAACAGCATTAAGCTGCTGCTTGCGTTCGCTGGTGTTCTGAGTGAGAGTATTCCCCCGGTGAAGCCGACAAGTTCATGCTATATTCATAATAGTTGCAGCACAGCTTTACCGCAGATGATATTTGAATTTTAAAGTATTGTTTTTGATTAGCACGGGAGACTCAGCGTCGCTACTGCCGGTGCCGTCACGACAGATGCTCACCTCGGCACCGCCTGCTCACTACATCGTATGCGTGCCAACACAACTGAATTTTGTAAATTTTAGAGTTGGGCAAGATCACGTGGTAAATGTAACCTAATTTTTATTTTTGAATTATATTCAATTTAAAATAAAATGCCTGTTTTAATGCAAGGAAATGTCCCTTACTTTGCTACCCTGCCCTAATACGTATTGGCGGAATTCGCACGTCTTCGAAATATTTTTTTAATACCCAGATATGCTTTCCTCGCGATGATTTTCTCAACAGCGGATCATGTGGTGAATTAACGTTTAAAATTGCAATTTGTAATTTAATTGATGGCGGCGGGGATCAAAACCGGGTGGCTCACGTACTGTGAAACTTTGAATTTATTTTGATTTTTCAACCGACACAAAAAAAATAATTTTTGTTTTCTCCATATGTTGGTATGTGGGCGATTTTTTTAGAAACTTTTAGTTTTTACTGAGGTTATTTTTATACTTATGGAAAGGTTCTAATATATAAAATAATAACGTTTCAACTGTTTCTTTCTATCATAGTCGGTTAATTTAAAATAAAATCCTAATAAATCTTTCAATTGATTTTCAGAAACGGCTGCGTTTAGTGAACATTTCCAAATGTGAAGTCCGCCTCGCATTTCAACCTCCATCACGTTCCGAACTGCAACTAGAGCTGCTAGGGAACCGCGGGATGACAGTCACGTCGGGATCAACTTTGAAGTTGCGCGTGCATTTTAAGCCGAGGTTAACTATTATTTTGACAAAACTGTTCTCTCCAATATATTTTCAAACAACTAGTCATAACAATCTAGTTGACAATTATTATAAACGGCGCGCATAGCGTGGTCGAGTGTATACCTAAACGTACTGTAGCTTATGTTGATTGTAGTAAAATAAATTTTATAGAATAAGGGTAACAAATGAGCATTCTGTCCTTATGATGGTGAGTAACTGCTGTGGTCTAGACATCTACATCTATACCGATATTTAAGAATCAAAATCTAGATGCTTTGTCATCTAGAATTTCCGGTGAAAAGGCGGCTCTATCACATACGCTGTAGCGTGGGTGTTGGCGATGCGAAACAATGTTCCCTTAAATAATCATTAGTTTCTGGAATAAAGACGTTTAATTACGTCAGTTAATTTTTTTCTCCCTGAAAGAAATATATAACATTTGAACTAATGTTACGTAGTAATATGCTACGTATAACGAATAAAGAATTAAATTTTGATTATTTTATTTTAATTTAGAAGCATGAGTTACATATGTTAAGGACATATGATACAAGTTAAGGATAGAAAGAGAGCCTAATTTTAGAACGAGATGGCACTAGCCCCCCCATGTAATTTTAGGGGTCTTGTAGAAATGAATTGTTCAACTCGTACACGTAATTAACATCGCTGAAATGTAGTATTAAATTTATTTATTTTTAATTGATAAAAGAAATAATAATTTTGTGAAAAGTACATAAATTTATGTACCAAATGTTTCATGATGGTTTTATAAATAATAAGATAAAAATATGTAAAAAGGATTTAATTCTGTTAAATATAATGTCGAAGTAAATTCACGTAAGGAATTCCATTTATATGCTTTATTAAAAGCTTTAATTTGTGAAATAATTTTTTTTATATTGTTTGGGACAATCGCGTTTATAGTTTAAAAATTGTGTTAATAAAGTATTCAGTCGACATTTAAAGTTTATATCTCTAAGAAACAGCTTGTAAAAATGTTATATTTTGTTTTATAATATATTATTATTCTTTAATGTGATGTTAATGATTTAATTACTATTGTAATGTGTCTGTGTTGCATTTTATGTGAAACTTAATTGTTTGATGATATTTTTATGGGCAATAAAGATATTAGTGGTGATGTGATGTGAAGATTAGTATTTAGATTAGAACGATAATGCGCATGGCGCACGATTTTCCTTACGATTTAGCTTCCAGGGTTGGTTAGTAATTCGCTAGATTTGCAATTCGTTTGAAACAGTGACAGTTTCAGGAATTATAATCAAGAAAGAAAAAGTAAAAGTAGGAAAGTAGTGAAAGTTCAGTATTACAATTTGTACGGGAATTTATTGAAGAAATGGCTGTTTAATTTAAAGATTCTTCAGTTCATCATAATAACAGGGTAAGGAAGATACAGTTCACATAAGCACATAAGATAGGCGTCCAGATCGGGACCATTCTATAGGGACCTGCATCTTAGTCGCCTGCTCCTTCTTTTTAGAAAACGGGCCCGTGATCAGAATTGAACGTCTGCCTCTGGGGTCACGCCCACATCGTTGCTCGGAATCCAGCGTTAGGTGGTATCGGTCTGTGAATATAAGGTCAAAAATTGGTTGATCATTGATCGGGGGACGTAAGACGAAGAGAGCAAAATGTTTTAGTGTGTCTACTAAATATAAAAGTTAGTTTCTAAATAATTCAGCATAATATATTATTAATGTTAGTTATTATTAATTTCATTAGCCTGTTATAGTCAACTGATGGACCTTTTCCGTTGTTGGGAGGGCTAGTCGTAATCTTAAAATGAATCTCGTAGAAAAAGACGAGAAATCAGGAGCTTATAACCGTTATACGCAGACTTTCAGAATAAAAACGTGTACATGTGCATGAGCGTAATGGCGGAGAGTCTGAAACTGTGTGTAACACAAAACAACCCGACATCCTCTGATTGGCAAGTTACATACAGAGATATGTAACTCTCCAGTCAGAGGCACACAATTCCCGCGGTGAATTCGAATATTTCACGCAATAGACAGACTTCCATATTGACGTATCTGCAGTGCACGACTACAGTCCCAAACCACACCGGGCGGTAAGTGTTAATGGGGCCAATTGTGATGAACCCCGTTTTTTAAAAAAAAAGTCTGTTATAAATGGATTTTGTACAGCACTATAATATACGTATACTAAGATAAGCAAGTTCCCCTTAAATTAATTTTAAATGAATTCCATTTTGTGTCAAATAAACAGGAAACTCGTTTTCAGGGATGTTCGTGCTATCAACGATGAATTATTAGTGCGGGTGTCGTTGGGCAGCGCAGTGTCCGTGCCCATAACGTGTTACATGCAACCACCTATGCTTGATGGTAAGATTTATATACTCGTACAGATAAATGAACTTGTATGGGCGCATTACTTATATGATTACGCATAAGTCCAAACTATGATAAGGGTGTAAGTGGCGGTACAATAATATCCACTAGCCCACATCATCCGTGGATGTCACGCGAGGCGACAGAGTGATGATAAACAGCAGCGTCTTCCTAATGAGAACTCAAACATAAAGAACTGCGGATGCTGACTCGCGTGCCTAGTGTAACAACTATGGCAAATATTCACCTTTGTGCTGGTATTTATGGCAAATATATCCCCTCTTACACGTTGATGGAAACCACCGTGGGGTTTTAGCCGGTAGGAGTCCGGCATAACCCTTCGGGTGACGCCACAGCCAAAGGTGTCCATGAGCATTTCACTACTAAAAAAAGAGATTGTAAAAGCGGCAGCTGACCATATGGTTCCAGGTTTAAATCCCGAGATTGGGCTAAAGTCAAAAGTAAAGCTATTAAAATGTTCTGTAAAGAATTTCTCAGTCCGTGTCGGTGTGTCAGGTTGCTATCACATCGGACCATGAGAGTGAATGGTAGAGAGCACACCTGTGCCTGCTTGCGCACACAATCGTGTACCATAACCCTGCCCTAAGCAACTCAACGGATTATTAACGAAGACTGGCCGGCTTGACAGAAATTAGCTCTGAGAGACATTATTTCTATTGCTAAACAGTTAAGTAAAAAACTTATAACATACGAAATGACAATATGAACAGAGTTTTGCGCGTAAATGGAGTATAAATATTGTGTATTTTGGCATACATACAAGTCCTTAAAATATAGAAATTAAATTTATAAAATTTTCTTTTGTCTTAACATGAATAATGGACTGTTTTATTTTATTGGGGCGTTGATAAGATGCTGTTTGATAACGTTTTGCCAAGTTGCCTTACCAGGTTGTCACTTCAGGCCGCCCTACACTCGGCTCACCGATACAAGATTGCCTCTCGAAAACGTTTTTCTTTCTTACCCATCAGCCATAAGCGACCCCATTATTATATTATGTGAGTATATAATAATCGGACACGCATGGCAACTATGTGGAATTCCCCTATGCGGCAATTTTTACGGGAGGCCTATGTTCGGCAGTGGAGTTTTATAGGCTGTAATAGATGGATGAATACAAAGATTGAAGTAGAACCTGTGTTAGCTACACGCTCATTTGTAGTTAAGAATATGTATAGGAATCGAATTTAGTCGCTGCGCACGCCCTAATATTGTGTTAGCGCACAGACCTTTGTTAAGTCGCCATTTTGTAATAAAACAAGTACATCCATTGTCCGCGATTTATTTCGACAACCACCAGCACCATCCTGCAGCATCATAAGATCTACAACCTGTTTCACTTATACTAGTCAATTTCTACTATAAAGTACTAATATCTACATAATCGTACGTGTTATAACGAATAACAAAACTACATGGATAATACCTTAGCTATAAACATTAAGGAGCGTCTACGTCGATTAAAATAGCCGTAACAAAATTTTAAATTACAACAGTGATAGTCCCAAGTGCCCATACGTTGTTTTCTGCGTGGGGTCCGGCTGCTGTGGTGCACAGTGCAGACGCGCTGGACCTTGGCGCTCGGCTGCTGGGCGACGTGCACCGGGTGCCGCTGCAAATGCACTGCAACGTCGATCACGCTTGCTTCTATGTTATGTCCGAGGAGGCGTGGTGTTCTTTTACTGTCGATGTAAGTAAAAAAAAATATTCTTCTTTGTCTTCTTCAGTGACAATCAGTCACGATGCAGATTGGCAATTCTCTCTATCTCTCATTCACTCGTACTCTCTATCTCTCGATCGGAGAAATATTGGGTGTAGGACCAACGGTTTAATGTGCTTTCCTAGGCACAGGGGTGAATCACTGCCAACTTCCTGACTCCTGGGCTGCTAATGAGAATATGTCGACAGGAAAATCCATTAACTGATTTTGGTCTGGCCCGGGATTCGAACCCGGGACCTCACGATTACTTATCGCGTTTAAGACAACTACAAAAACGAGGCAAGCGATTTGCCTTAAACGTCACACGTCACACTTGGTAGGCAGACCAAAGATCGTGGTATTAGACCTCTTATACCTCTGTCGCTGTTGTAGTCACCGGGGAAGTGTATTAATTTTGCCGTACATGAGCTGGTTATAGCGCTATCTCTTGAAGTAAATCAGATTTTTGTGAAATTTCTTATAGTTGCCTCTTACAAAATTCATACGTGGCAGAGCCATGTTTCAGCTATATTATGGTTGTAGCACGAATGGGTCAGCTCGTCTGGGGAAGTAACAGGCTCGCACAGAATACGAGTGTAAAATAACTGCTCAATGCTGGTGTGTTTCGTATGATAATCCGGAGATCCTTATTACTGGAAACGAGACAATTCATCGTAATTCTCAGGGGTTATAACGCATATGCATTTTGATTCCTAATCGAAAATAGACGTAGATGTCCATGGGCCACAGAATCCACACACAATCAGGTGGACTGTATGATAGTCTGTCACCCTGATACCTACTATAGTTTAGAAAAACTCACCGGATGAAATGACGTAATGGATTCTACTTTGCCGCTTTGACATGGCAACAATATTGTTATGAATTATATGAGAAGTATACTAGCTTCTTCAATCATATGGACAATTTGCCCACGCGTGTAAAGAGGATCGGCGATTATAGTACCAAAAAATTTAGTTTGTCGCTGCATTTTGTAGACAGTTAGGTATTTTGAATACTAGTTAATTTTATCGCCATTCCTCCTTTCAGCCACGAGGTGAAATGGGTTATTATGTCATCTTACGTTGTTATTGAAGAGATAGATCTAGCAAGGCACAAAACAGTCATCATCATTAACATTACAGTCTACTAAAATGGCATAGGCCTTTTTATAGGATAAGGCTGACAAACGAGCACACAGTCTATCTGATGGTAAGTGGATGCTGATCTGTGGCTCTATCACGTATAAGAAGGTTAAACACAAAGTCGTTGGAATTTGCAGGAAGTGGCAATTAGAACAGGCGTTGTAGTTGTGGGGGCGTTTAGCATCAGACCCGCGCTATGGTGCGGTACGAGGGATGGGTTAGCGGTGTGCCGGGCGCCCTCCGCTGGCCTCCGCACCGCCGCGCTGCGCATACTCAGCTCCACAGCCATTTTACGACCTCTAAACCTTGTGGCAGATGCCATAACGTTTAGCAGTGAACATGTCTCCCTACAGGTACCCAGAATACTTCCATTACCATCCATCCATTCGTCACGTCTTCTCGTTGCCCATACCGCAAAGCTTGAAGACGTAAGCTTTCGACCAGTTTGTCCTGCCAATACTAACATATAATGCCAAAATGTGCAACACCAACAAAAGTCAAGTGTGAGCGATGGAAGAATTATGTTAGGAGTTTTTCTTGTGAATAAGATTAGTAACGAAGAAATCGACCGAAGAATCGAGTTCACCGTTGAATATACATGTCATAGATTGTAGACCGCGTTTAGGTGAACGCAGTGTGAGACTGGCTAGATGGAGCGAAGATCTGTGCTGTGGTTGACGGCTACTGGATACCTTAAAAATCGGGCCACGTGCAGCAGTTGACTGCCGCAGGCTGATGATACCATCCATCCATTACAGCCTACAAAATTCCGCTGTAGAACATTGACCTCCCGATAGATTGCCTCATAGGGAGGATATTGCCATAATTGCCACGCGGGTGGGTGGTGGCGGCTTCATATTATTTTGAGTTCTTCTAAGGAAGATGCTGCCACCCGTCTCATTATAATTTTTAAGTATTAGATAATTCAACCAATATCGCCATCGTACACTCGTCAAGTGTAAGATACGCGAATAAGTTGCGCGGAGGGGCAGCATAATATTTTTGCTAATGTTCGATTTCGCTTCTCATTTAATTTGTGTACCGCGGGTTAAATTTGAAAATTTAAGAAGAACACTCCAAAAACGTTAAGTTATAGCCTATACTAGTTTGCCAGGCAGACGTTGTTCTGCCATTTTCGACGACCCTTTGTCATGTCCTATTAAACATCCTTAAATTAGCAAAAAAAATTCTGGGTCACTCGTGGGCAAAAAACTATCCTATTTCTCAAGTTGGACCAAATTGCACACGATGTGAAAATTTGACCAAAATCGGTTTAGTAGTTTAGGAGTCCATCGTGGACAAAGAAAGTGACACGTAATTTATATATATTAAGATTATCCCCCACTGCTGGACGCAGATCTCGTTTAATTTTAGAGAGAATTATGGAGAAATTACATCAATAGTCCTCTATAAAATTCATTGGCGCTATCTACAGACTTAATATTTTCTCTAAATATATTTTTTCTTAAACAAGCAGGTTTTTTTCACAATGTCAGAATAAAGGTGCCACACCATAGACACATATATCCATGTTGTATCGATTTACTATAAAATTTAATATTTTGCTTCATTGTTTATGCGTTTATAATTTGCAAATTAAATTCTTTCAAATATTTACTATTTACATTAAAAAAAAACAACAGACACCTGAAAAAACCTACGACATGTTTACCGATGGCGACCCGTCCTGCCCGTACTACGTGCACCTCGGCACAGCGTTCCCAAATCAACCGATGTCCGCTACCGTCCAGCTAATAAATCATATGTATTTTGCTATATTAAAAAAAAATAAACCACGAAATTTAAAATATATATATATATATATACCATGACCTTTTTAATGTTCTTACATTGTCATCTAATTCTGAGCTATGTTAAAAATGTTTAGTCTAGCTCATCGAGAAGTTGGTTTAAAATCAATTATTAAATTTAAGTGACATACTTGAAAGCTAGTTAATAAAAACGTGGTTATTAAAATATTAGCGATGATATGATGTATGAAAAACTATTTAAGTAAAAAAAAATTCCTCATAGTTCCGTGTCATACTCTTATTTCTGGAGTGTACGCGCATGGGACGAAAATTTGTCCTGTGTGAAAACAATCAAAAAAGACGACGCGTTTCCCGAGGATGTTGATGAGTTTGAAGAATGTCTTAACCTCGAGGTGGGTACTGTTAAATTATTAATAGAATACTTGCAATGCTTATATTTGTACATTCAATTCTTGCGCAGGTATTGGTTACGAACAATAAATGATTGGTTGGTTTGGCTTAGCGATTTTTTAAAGTCGCAGTCCGTATTATATTTTTTAAATCAAATGTTGATATTTTGATATTTTGTATGGCTACAAGCTGAGAGAATCTCTATTAAATCTAAGAAATTCTATGAAAGGAATTTTGTTGTTGATGAAAATATATCGTCCTTGAGAAACATTTCATCTCGAAGCATTTGGCAGATTTGAATATACGTTTCAAATATCTTGTGAAGCGAGAAGTATCACTTTTTTGCAGTTACTTATTAAACTGCCAAAAATGGTGACAATGGCAAGCGTTCTAAGCATGCCAAATTTTAACCAATCAGCCGTAGACAAATTCGCAATTCGTAATCACAATCTGTAAGACTTATTGCGTCTGGGAATGGGAACCTCAGGTAACATTACGTACAAATATCATAATTATACTTACTATTAAAAACTTCAAGAAACGAGCTTACTACTTTTTTAAAAGCCGGCAACGCACCTGTAATTCCCCTGATGTTGAAGTTGTTCGTAGGTAACCGTCGACACTTAGTCATAACATAATAACGAGCATGCAGCGCACCTGATGGTAAGCACCCCCTATTCAATAAAAAATAAGTAAATTACAAATTTTACTTTCTATTACAGCCTATTAAGTCTACTACTGAACATAACATGCCTCCTCCATAGATTTTCTCATAGGGGGGATTTTAAATGGTTGCGACGCTCAACAGGCAGATTGGTAACCACAGTTTTTTATTGTTGGGTTGTTATCAGAAAATGTTGCTACCCATTTTCCATTTTTAGTGTGTCATTAAAACAATCAGTGTTTTAATCTTTTATGAAATTTGGGGTTATCATATTAAATGTATTGGACGTAAGAACTATTACTTTCACAGAACCAGCAACGATCTATAGATACAGATACAGAAGCCACAAATGCAATACGCGTGGAACCGTTACGTGGTGATGTAGCACCTCGTAGCTCGATTGCCGTGCACGTGTGTGTGCCTCAAGCTGGTGCACGGTGTGGGACGCGGCGCGCAGTGCTTATGTACGTACAAGTCAAGTCGCTTAACAGCCTGTATATGCGCCACGGTTGGGCAAAGAGCAACTCTCAATAATGGGAGAGTTTAGGAACAGAGAAGTGATAGTGTTTGCTTAGCCAGCCAAACAGTGAGTAACACTGTTCTCAAAAATATATTATGTATGTACAAACAGGATATTAGTAACTCTAGGTAAAAATTTCTAAAACGTATAATGGTATAGTCGTATAGTGATCGCGTTATACTGAATGTATGTTGCGTTACGTTATTTCATTGCTGTTAGTGTCCGACTGAAGGTAGATTTCAAGCCGGAGCCGACTTACAAAAACCTGAAGAAATTCAGTCTAATATTGACTAAAACACATAATATGAAATATTAAAAAAAATATTAAATGTTTATGATGACTTTATAATATAAAAAAGATTATTTTAATCATATCCAGAAGTTGATCTAGATATGAAAACAATTGCGTCGACCCGTCCATCGCGCTCTCGCTCATTCATAATATTTTGTTTAATTTCAGTGCTTGCTAGAATGTTTCGGCTTCGGCCAAAACTTCGACTGTGAAACCTTGCGCCGAAAACATTTTTTGTTTGGTCGAAGGTGTACGAAGCTGAAGCCAAAGTCGAAGCTTCGTTCGAATACCTACTAATAGTTTTTAAGAAGCTTAGAAAAGCTAATGAGTTGTATACAGTCGAAAATCATATAAAAGAAACAGTAGCGCGATGACATTACACTTGTACTTATTACAAACAAAACAATAACTTAAAAATAAGTTGAAAAAAAAAACCGTTACGTTATTATAGTATCTATTAATTTTATCAACTTTAAAAAGATATTTCAAGATGTTAGTATACCATATTTGTATGGGGAAGATTTTTCAAAAACATGTTTTGGAAACAACAATTTTCTCAGATATATGTTCAAGATAAACATTATATTTTTTTCCTCTGCCATTAGAAGTTTAGATTTTGAAAAAAAATGTTTAGAATGTTAAATACAGCTTATTTGAGTCTTGTCAGCGCCTATTGGTAAATTGCGTAAGCCAGAGACAAAGTTGAACACTCACTCTCAGAGTTTAATAGTTTTAACAATAAAGTTTTGTTGTATTTCTAATACTAATTATATTTTTCATAAAATTATAAAAATATGTTCTTTAGAAACATTTTTTTCCATATTTCGTCACATTAAACTTCTTTAAGATTTCTATAAAATAATTGTTTTTTTTTTAAATAGAAGTATACTAATGAACAATATCATTCTAGGTTAATATTAACTAACGTTCCCCGGGAAAGTCTGTCCCCAGAATATGAAGACATGATCATCAGCACCGAGACAATAGAAGAAGATGAACTACCAGGGCTGTCGAGGGTAAGAATTCTTATAAATATTAACCGAAAAATACAATATTTAAGTGTCGGATTTTCGACTTTATCTTCCGATTGCATTGCTTAAAATACTATCACTTATGTTTATCTTCCAGAACAATTTTTTTTATAGAATAAGGGTGATAAACGAGCACACAGTCCATCTAATGATAAGTGGTTACTGTGACCCATAAATATAGTCTACATTTATCCTCGATTAAGAATCAATATGCAGATACGTTGTCAACCCTGAGGACTAAGATGGAATGCCTCGTATCCAATAAAATGGGTTTCTGGTACATATATAAAAATGTACTCTACACTTACTATACAAAACAGCAGCATTTAGCTGCTTTTTTGTGCTTGACTTCTGTGCGAGCGTGGTCTTTCCCCGGTAGAGCTACAACCATAATATAGCTGCACTATGACACCACGTACAAAAATTTAATACTGAGGAAATTGTATCACATTGTCTATATTGCTAAGGTGGCTAATTCTGTGACAGGAACCTGGAATTTGTTTATTTATGTTTTAATTCAGTAGATTGTTTTTGATATTTATCTTGTGTTACGCAGGCGTGGACACGCACAGTGTGTCAGGTGTTGTGTACACAGATGGAGGTGTGGTGGGACGTTGTGCCGGTGCGCTTCATTATTCACCCGCCCGTTGTACACCTGACTTATTCAAAGGGGTATAAGCAAAAGCATTTTCTGATTAAATTAACTCTAGTCTAACATCCAACTACTTTAATGATCATACACTAAAATAAATAAAGTTTGCAAACTACATAAAAAATATAATTAACTGACTTTCAAGCACTGTTCATAAGTCTAGTTTATTACTGAGTTAACCTAATTAGCTCGTAAGTTATAAACCCTAACCATTGTCCTCAGTAGGAAAAATGTGTTGTTATTAAATTTACATGCGTGTTATCAGTGATTGCATATATGGATCTGAGCCGTAGTCTTTCACTGCTGGCCGTTCGAGGACGTTAAAGTGCCTCAGTAAACTATGGAGAAGGTTATGCTTGGGGTTTCTCTGTGCAATAGACGAAGGAATAAGGATCTGCGCAGTAGAACCAGAGAAATCGACATAGCCCAACGATAGCTCGATGAACCGACAACCGATGGGGTAGAACTTTCTCGAGTCACGACATGGTGAGAGATGCAGGAAATCGATGCATTCAGGTGGCTCAGGACTTATTTTATGGCATTCTATGGGGGAGGCCTATTTTCAGCAGTTGAATTGTGAAGGGCTGAATTATAATGATGGTAAAATCTACCATACTGTTTACATTAAAAATTGTATAAGTCAATTAAAACCTTTAGGACAAGCATTGTGGTAGTGGTGTAAGTGTATACATTCCCTATTTTACCCCGTGGGGAAATCCACAGATCGAAGAAGAGCAACTATGAGAAACGTTAAAAAAGTCTTATAGCTTTCGGAAATAGTTTTCCTATCCGTGGTTGCTGATCATCAGGTCCCAGGTTCGAATCCTGGATTGGGACAGAATTAGGTTTTGGGGTTTTCTGTCAAGAAGTTTTCAGTAAGAGCTCGGAGTCAAGAAGTTGGTGGTGTTTCACCCCGTACCTTGAAAAGCACGTAAAGTCGTTAGTCTTGTGCCTGATTTCTTTTTAGTCGTATCGGAAAACAGTCCAATTGAACTGTGAGCATAGCTGTGTGTATAGCGGGGAACCTGGACTTGGACACTCGGGCACAATAATCCTGCCATGCACAGATGGCTAGTCTCCGTTGAGACTGGCCGTCGTGACCGAAATTTGCTCTGGAGAACATTATGCTGGAAATCAACGGTGACGATTGTATTAAATCTTTCTTGCAACGGGAGATGATTATATCCAGCAGAAGACGTTTACATGCTGATGAAGTAACGGATATATTTCAGGGTTAAGTCAATAGACGTGCCAGTGTACGTGACCCAGCTGTATGGCACATGTGGTGTGCGAGTGAAGTGGACATCGCCAGGCTCAGCCTTCGGTCGCGCGCTGGTGTTGCGGCCCGCTCACACTGTCACTACCTCGATACGCGTGCCACTGTCAACGACGAGCGATGAGAAAACCCAGCTCTACGAGTTAGCCTTTGATTTTTTTGGAATGAGGGTGATAAACAAGCACTCTATCCATCTGATAATGAGTGCATTCTGCCGCCCATAGACATCCACGTTTATATTCGATTAAGAACCAAAATGCAGATACGTGATTACCCCGGACCACTGTATGTTATTTGTAGGAGAAACCAGAGTTTGGCTGTTTTCAATGAAAGTCATGTTATTATAACTGATTGTTTTAATGTTGTTTTCACAATCTATACATAAATATATATTTGAGTAATGATAGTTAAATAGTTATTAAAAACCAAACTAATTTTATATGTAGTAGAGCTACGCTGTAGCTATATTATGGTTGTAGGACGACCGTACGGCGTAGGATGGTTGACTGGGGAAGGACCACGCTCTCACAGAATACCAGCGTAAAAGAGCAGCTTAATACTGCTATGTTTTGTATGGTGAGTGTAAAGATCCGGAGACCCTTTTTTACTCGAAACGAGACATTCAATCTTAGTCCTCAGGGGTGACCTCAGAGGGTGATTAAGAATCAAAACGCATCTGCGTTTGATTATTAATCGAGGATAGATGTAGATGTCTATGAGCCACAGCATCCACTAACCATTAGGTGGACTGTGTGCTTATTTGTAACCCTAGTTATAATATAAAAAAATACGACTAAGGTCGACTATACACATGCGGAATCTCGTTTTGCCGCATTATTTCTAACGGAGAGCTACTGTATGTGCGTGACGGGTTAGTAATTTTATAAGGACTTGCTGCGTTCGGAATCCCAAATCAGAATTCCGAAATGGAATTCCGTATGTATGTGGCCAGCCTTAGGTCGGAATGTCGTGTCTTATACGTATCCAGTGAAAATGTTCTCCGGTTCTCTCCTCTCACCATACGGAAAACAGTAGCATTAAACTGCTATTTAAGCCGCTATTCTGTGAGAGCGTGGTCCTTCTCCGGTCAAGCCTAGACATTAATGCTACAACCATAGTATAACTGCAACATGGCTATTATATTCTATTCTATTCAGACTGGAGTCGGAAAACGGCGAGTGGCGAGCATCGTGCATGGTCACGTGCGTATCGGGTTGGAACCGCATCGCGATGCGGCCGCGGCTGAGCTGGTGCGGCGCGCTGTCGCCAGGCGACGTGTTCTATGCACAGCTGCAGCTCTATAACACCACGCACGCACCAGTAACACATCTTAATCATTAATTTTTTTTATAGATTAATAGCGAGCACACTGTCCATCTGATGGTAAGTGAATGCTGTGGCTCAAAGAAATTTGTTTAACATTTTTCCTATGTTAAGAATCAAAATTTTACGGATCTGTGCCGCAGTGGTTTAGCTATGAGTTGCAGCGCTGAAAGCCACGGGTTCTAATCCCGCATGAAACAAGTATTAATATCAGCTACAAGTACTTAATTGTTTTGGGTCTGGATATTTATCTTTCTGTCTGCACGATACAGAAAAAAATTTGTGAAGAGGTAATTATTTTCTTTTAAAACAACACAAAAACGATCAACCCGCTCATTTCAATCCCAAAATATTGTTATGTAGAAATACTGTGTAGTGGCGGTATAATAAACTCCATCACTCCATTCCTTCCCGTGTACATTGTTAAAGGCGACCATGGGAAATACGAGTATCATGTATGGTACTGCAAACGTCCATTCTCTACTAAGCGTGACGATTAAGAAAAACTTTCCTATACCTAATGGAATTTTATGAGTTGTGTATCGCTAGCAACGCAAAGTAAGGAATTTAGATTTAGAAAAAGCCAAAATTAGGGGCATTTAGGTGCTGATTAGGTGCCTAGTTTAAAAACTAAGACAAAAAGCTTAATTCAAGTCACATAGGGATGTCAGGAGAACAAAAACCTATCTATGTTATGGAACATTTATCTCCGGCTATGAAGTCTCTTCAAGCGGCAACCCGTGTTAGAGCTAAAGAAATGGGCTATAGATATGTATGGATTAAATCGGGACGTATATATGTAAGAAAAACCGAGTCATCTGAACATAAATGTATTAAAAATATTGAATCTCTCAACAGTCTAAGCTAATTGAATTAATTTATTAAATATTACAATAAATTATACAAATGTGCTGGGTTATCCTACCACATCGTACGATAATATATCATGTTATTATCAGAATGTCCGAGGCCTAAGATCGAACGTTAGGGATGTCTCATTAAAAATCCAAAACAATAATTTTGACATTATAATTCTTACAGAAACGTGGTTAAACTGCACAGTTTATGATTCTGAAATTTTTGACGATAGATATACAGTGTACAGAAGAGATCGTGCAATTAATAAACTTGGTGGTGGGGTTCTCATAGCTGTATCTAACAATTTAACATCTTGTAGAATATCTAATTGCAATACTGAATGTGAAGATCTTTGGGTAAAGGTTAAGATTTTTATAGGTCAGAAAAGCGAATTTCTTAAAATCTGTGTTGTGTACCTACCACCACCCCTAAATCAAAACTTATTTGGAACATTCATTAATAACACAAATAGAATCATGGACGAGTATAACACAAAACACACGTTAATAGCAGGTGACTTTAATATTTCAAATGCAACGTGGGAACAACATAGCTCTGGTACGTATCTTTTACCGATCTTAAACAGCAACAATAACATACATAATTTACTCTTAGATTTCTTGGAATTAAATGACTTCAAGCAATTTAATTCTATTACAAATAGTAATAAAAAAATTTTAGACTTATTTTTATGTAACTCTGAAATAGTAAAGATTAATGAATGTTCCAACCCTATACGTAATGTTGACACTCACCATCCACCATTAGAAGTATCTATTGCACTACCCTCCAGTTATTATCCGAATCACGTGAAATTACAGAAAAATAACTATTTTAAAGGCGATTACGATCAGATTACTAAAGCCCTAGACGAAATCTTATGGGCAAATGTACTTTTAAAATATGATAATATTAACGACATGGTTAATGAATTCTATCTAATACTTTATAAAATAATAAATCTATATGTGCCTAAAAGTAAAAAATGTGGCAATAGGCATCCGGTATGGTACAACTCTTATTTGATATATTTATTAAAGCAAAAAAAGAAGTTTCATAGAAGATACAAGATCTATAATAATCCTCTAGACCTACTAGAATTTCAATACCTACGTCACGACTGTGAAATACTTACAGAAACATGCTATGACAAATACATATCTACACTAGAACACGAAATAGGTAGAAATTCAAAATGTTTTTGGACACACATTTCTAACAAACGTAAAAACTCGTCTAGATACCCACCATCAATGTATTTAGGAGACAAACAATCAAACGAACTAAAAGAATCCTGTAACTTATTTGCAGCGCATTTTTCCAGTGTCTATAACACCCCAACAAATAACAACAGTAACTCAGTATATTTGCTCGACTCGCAGCCACAGCTTCCTGAAATGTCCAGTATATACATATCCCAAAAATGCATAATAAACAAAATAAAAAGACTTGATATAAAACAGAGTGCCGGACCTGACAATGTCCCCCCTATATTCTTAATTAAGTGTGCAAATTCAATATCCTACCCCTTACAACTAATTTATAATACTTCACTTAGGACAGGGAGTTTTCCCGATAAGTGGAAAGAAGCAAGAATAGTACCTATTTACAAAGATGGAAAAAAAGAAGTTGTATCTAATTATCGACCTATATCAATCCTCTCTACCGTATCAAAGATTTTTGAATCACTTGTCCACCCATTCATATTCAATCATGTTAAAGATCACTTATATCCCTGCCAACATGGTTTTATGCCTAAGAAGTCTACTAATACTAATTTGCTCAGTTATGTTTCCAATCTTATTGATTCGGTTGACAAAAATCTTCAAGTAGATATTATATACACTGATTTTGCCAAGGCATTTGATAAGGTAGACCATAATATACTTGTTAAAAAACTCGCATATTTTGGCATTTCCGATACATTTTTAAACTGGTGCAAATCTTATCTCTCTAATCGTAATGCCAGAGTAGTAATTGATGGCGAGTGTTCTGATTCTTTCAATGCTATTTCTGGTGTTCCACAGGGATCAAATTTAGGGCCTTTATTCTTTGTACTATTCATTAATGATATAGTAAGTGTATTTAAAAATTGTCAGGTTTATTTGTTTGCAGACGATTTAAAAATAGCTAAAGTTATAAAGCAAGAATCTGACGTATTAGAACTACAAGCGAATCCTGATAGACTTGTAAAATGGTGTGAAACAAATCGAATGCTGCTCAATCCGGATAAATGTAGTTTTATTAAATTCACAAGAAAAAATAATCCATTAATGAGTTCTTATAATATTTTGGGTAAAAACCTGACGGAAACCAATTCCATTCGAGACCTGGGCGTGATATTTGATAGCAAATTAAGATTCGATAAACATATTAATTCTATAGTGACTGCTTCTTTTAGGCTGCTCGGCTTTGTTCTTAGGCAGTCTAAAGATTTCAAAAAGGTAACAACAATACTTCAACTGTACAACAGCTTGGTCCGTAGCAAACTTGAATATTGTTGTCAAGTATGGTCTCCCGCTTACAAAAACCACATTGAAAGAATCGAACGTGTTCAAAAAAGACTCATTAAACACCTAATATTCCGTTTTAAGGCGTCAAGTCATAGTGAGTGCTACAATAATAAACTTGCTTACTTTAGGCTGAAACCACTGGCAGTTCGTAGATCTCTTCTTGATTTGAAATTTCTTTATAAACTTTTCAATGGTAAAATTAATGACAGTGAGCTGTTGAGCAGATTTAATATTAACGTACCTCGGAGACCTCCTCGCAACCCATGTCCTTTCTTTAGGACTGACAGCACTCGAACAAAACTTGGACAGAATTCTCCAATAACACGTATATCACGCGTATACAATGTTTGTGTAAAAAATATAGCAACACTGGACATTGGTTGTGACGGGCTCACACTTTTTATGAAAAAATGTAACGACTGTTTAGAAAATTAATTATTCACTAACTTTATGCCAAACTTAACTTTTATTTATGTTATAAAAAGTATTAACTTTTTTTTGTTCGTAAAACTTGTTTTTGTTCCAAATACCATTAAAATAGGCAAATTATAAACACTGCTATTGTTTTAGAATGATGTGTTCTCCTATAATTGGTAGTACATAGTTATTTATAGATGTAAAGCATGTGTTAGAAGTAATTTAATATGTACAACTGTTGGAGATCCATATAAATAAATAAATAAATAAACTAGGTGCTCTACAATTTTCACCGCAACGTACTGTTGAAATTTGCGTTGATGGTAAAACGTATCGCTAGCAATGCAGTGACGAAAATAGATATACGATAAATATTAATAGCAAAGAATTGAGTAATGCAAATATAGGCAATAACAAGGTGCCCCTCATAAAAATAAAGTCGTTATTCAGAACAAAGCAGATGCAGAAATCAGGTCTTCTGAAAATCAGAATATAATCAAAATCGGATATAGAATTAATTTGCTTTTGAAAAATACAACTTACTTTTTTATACAGTTACTTTTGAAACGGCTTCGGTGCTGCGGGAAGGGTAGCCTCTTTGCCCTTGAGTAGCTAATCATAGGCATCTGTGCAAGCTGAAGCGGCTGAGGCTGGTCTCTGAAGGCGACCGATGATCCGAAGCTGCGATTTGCTACAGCGGGTAGGCGCTAATGGAGAGCAGCCCCCGCCCGCTGACTTTACAAAAACACTCTAGGCAGATAAGAATAACTGGAGTCGGGGCGGTCTGATTTGTTTTAGTACAGATTCGACCTGTTTTTTATATAGTATATAACTGACAAAGTTAAGTAAGCATTTATCGTATATCTATTATCGTCATTGCGTTGCTAGCGATATGTTTTACCAGCAACGCAAATTTTGACAGTTCGTTGCGGTGAAAATTTTAGAGCACCTAATTTTTAAACGTGGCACCAAATTAGCGCCTAAAAAAGCCCCTAATTTTGACATTTTCTAAATGCAAATTCCTGACTTTGCGTTGCTGGCGAGACACAACAAATTTTACGAGCTCTTAAGGAAGAAATGTTGTATAATATTTTATGTTAATTACCCAACACTACGCTACTTCAGCTCCGCTTTACACGTATCTAAGGTATTTTAAATGAATGAATAAAATATTATTTTATACTAAATGTAAA